AAGGTTTAAGCCTCTCTGTTGGTACGCATAGTGTTATAATAGTAAATGTAAAATATTTTTTTATGATTTTTGAACAAACTGTTAAGCAATATTTTACAAAGTACTATCTTTTCATGTTTTTTAAAACATGATTTTTTTCATTTATTTGACCATCCTTTGCTTTATTAGTTGACCATATGTTCAATGAAAAAAAAATGAAAGCATTTATAATTTTTATTTTTACCATATTAGTATTATTATTAGTATTAGTTTATGCTGTGACTGGTATTGCTACCAGTGAGTGTGGTTTTAAAGCACACTATGACAGCTGAGTCTTGTGATGGTTTGACTCCCATCGATCAAGTCTTGCTTGAAATGAGTTGACTGAATTAGCTTTAACAACATTTTCTGGCAGTGCATTCCAAAAATTTGAAATTCGATTTAGTAAAATATTTTCTCTATTATTATGTACAGAAATTTCTTTAGAATACTTTAGGTTATGACCATGAGTACAGTTTAGATTTGAAAGACTTATTTTCTTTAAATTCAACTTTATCGTAACCTTTGAAATTTTTAAACAATTGAATTATGTCACCACGTTGTCTTCTTTTAACTAGTGAGGGCATTCTAAGACAAGCTAGTCAATCTTCGTAGCATAATTTATTGATTGAAGGTATCAATTTAGTGGCACGACGCTGTATTCTTTCCAAAATCGCAATATCTCGTTTTTGATAAGGAGCCCAAACTGGTACAGCAAACTCTAGTAGTGGTCGAACAAAGGAAAGATATAGAGATTTTAGCTGTTCTGCATCAAATTGAACAAAATATTTTATTATTATACCAAACATGCGGTTTGCTTTGCTACTGAATATATTTGAAGTGATGCACAGAAATATTTGAAGTGATGCAACAGAAATACAACATTTTATTGCAAATGAAATGACGAATAAGCTTTAATTTCTGGTATAAAGTATGACCTAAAAAGAACACAATTTGGTTAGCGGATTTTTATTAGTATTTGTTCCCTTATATATACAAGATTATCTTCCTTATCTGGCCAACGAAAGGAAGAAATGCTACTCTTAACCACTGTAGCTACCTCATAGACATCAGTCACAACTTGCACTATTTTCCCAGAAAACGGCTTCCTTTGTTCTCTACTATTACAAAGTCATCCTTTTCCAGAGTAGTTGTGTTTTTATCTGAAGAATCTAAGCTCAGGAATTGAAGTTGAAGATTTTGAATTTTGAAGTTGAATGATTTTTCAATCCGTTTCTGTTTCTTGATTTTTTGCTAACTTTTCTATTCCAATTTTCCCCTCTCACTTTATTTTCCCTTCTTTCTTTTTAGCTTCTCTTTTTTAATAAAAAAATGAAAAATGTAAACCTAATAAATCATGAAATATGATTACAATGAGTTACGATAAACCAAGATATTACTGAGTAATTTACCAGCCATATAAGTTACTAAATTTTTGGACGTCTTATCCATTATTTGACTAACTGACTACTGATGGACAGTAAATGACTACAGATGGACAGTAAATGACTACTGATGGACAGTAAATGACTAAATGACGTTTCTATGGAAAATATATTATTTTGATTTTATACTAATCTAATTAATAAAAGTATGCTAAAAGTATGAAGTACAGTGTCTTTACTCCCACAACTTCAACGTTATTTCACTATCATTAATTCACAGCTTTGTTCATTTATTCACTGTGTCCCAGTACTGGAAACACAGTGAATAAATGAACACAGCCGTACACGTGAATAAATGAACACAGCCGTACACGTGAATAAATGAACACAGCCGTACACGTAAACTTTAAACTTTTCTGTGAGCCGTTGGATAATAAATATTTTGGTTTCGGTGATTTTTTTTTATGAAAGACATATATCTCAATCATTTCGCCATGAAAAAAAATGTTTTTTATATTAAGTTTGATGTTGGAAATAAATTACTAATGCATAGAAAGAAAAGTAAGGGTCCTAATATAGAATCCAGTGGAACTCCAAAAGTTATAGCATTTTTGGTTGTTTCTAAATTATCACATTGTACGTATTGCTTTCTTTTCGATTTACGTACGTATTGTTTTCTTTTCGAATATTTCGTGCCATATTAGAGCTAACATTAGAGCTAACATCGAAAAAAAAGCTGTTTAATTTTTCAGCTATTACCACTTTATCACAAATTAAATTATAGTCAGTTAAAAGTTTCTTAAGAAAAAAATTGTAAGCAGTTGGACCTGCTCTTACAGCCAACCTCAGACCATTATCACATCGTCGTTATGTTGCTTCTCTTTCTTTTTTCTATAAATACTATAATGGGCACTGCTCTAAAGAGTTAGCAACTTTTGTACCATCTACTAAAATTCATTACCGTGTTACTCGTCATTCAAATAATTCTCATCCTTTTACTGCAGGGGCGGATGCAGGGGCAATTTTTTGATTCCGTTGATCCAGACCAGCAATTTACAGGCTTAATGATTTTTTAAGCAGGAAAGCGCAAAAATAGAATTTGCATTACACAATTTTATTCGAATTTCATGACACTTTGAAACAGCCTCCTAAATTTACATTTTCTTTTAAATTTACTTTTTTCTAAACAATATGCTCAATATCTGTAGCTGTAGATTCTTTTCTACCATTTTGGTATAACATATTACAATAATAAATATATAAACCAACAAATGATTGTTTCGCCAAATATCAGAGCTCATCAGTATTTATAGGAACATATTTCATTCCAGACATGGACAATCGGAAAAAAAAATTAATATCAGAAAAGAGAAAGACACAAATACAAATAGATTCATACACATAGTCAAATAAAAGGTTATATATTTTTTTATATTACAAGATTTAAAAAAAAAAGTTAAACTAAGTTAAACCTTAACAAAAAGTAATTTTGATCAAATGAAAAGAAAGGTAACAGTTTTTGAAAACAATTACAGTAAAACTGATTTAAATGGCACAAAAACTGAAGAAAATTTTAGGTTGATTGAGAGAAAATTAATTTAAAATAATTTTTTTTATTTTTATTTTATTGCTAAATTAGAAAATGATAGAGAGATATTGTCAAAGTCAGAAAAAGAAAGTCAATGATTGTCAATATCAGAAAGAGAAGGTCAATGTTGAATATCAAAAAGAGAAGGTCAGTGTTTGCCTTAACTATGACCACTAATCATATAGCTAATCCCATACAAAAGTGTGGGGTTACATATAACCCATACTCTAGAGGACACCATTGATGTCTTGGTCTTCCATGCATATTTGTTAGCTGTTATAGGAAGAGCGGTGATAATAGAAAAGAATTTTTTAATATAAAGTAGTTGGTGTGTGTTAAAATGAGCAGCTAAAACACTAATCATTGAAATCAAGTCGTCAATTTTTATAGAAAATCTGTTGATAACATTATCAATACAAGGAGCAATTTTTTGAAATATACATTAATACAAATTCGTTAAGTCGATCTTCTGACCAATGTCCGAAGATCGACTTAACGAATTTGTATTAATGTATATTTCAAGAAATTGCTTGTATAGTCTTTTAACAGATGCATAACAAAAATTAAAACGGCATTTTTTGAAAACGAAAGGACCTAAACTCTATATTTTTCTTCGGATCTATCGTAAACTACACCGAGTAGGCGGTTTTTCCTCCACTAAATATTTAAATGAGTTTAATTTAAAATTGAGTTATTTTAATCCATTTTTATTTTTATTGTTATTAGACCTTAATAAATAAATAAAATTTTTTTGAAAATAACATTCTGTTATCTTTATAAAAAACAATCTTAGCATATTTATTTTTTTGACGTAGGACATTAGCACGTTTTTTTGACGTAGGACATTAGCTCGTTTTTTTGACGTAGGACATTAGTAAACAAATTTATTTCTTAGTTCGGTTTTTTGTTCCTTAAAACCTTTGTTTATGAAAAAGTCTTGATTCCAGACTCTCATTTTGACAAACTTGTCTAGCTTAACTGATTTATCTTTAAAATTTAAAAATTTCACAATGATGGTTTTGTTATTGCTTTATTATTATTTTCACTTTCATATTTTTTTCAATACACCCGTTCAATAATAAAGTTTAAATAAGTATTTAAAAGTTGTTACGTCTACTTCTATTTTCTTTTCAATTTATCTTTCATGGTTTCTGTTACAATACTTTTTAACAATTCTTGTTTTTAGTTTAAGCTTTAGTAAGTTCGTCTCAAGCTTATAAAACTGACACGGTCGTTTAGATACGCATGCGTGAGAATATTTTATATGGCATCAACTACAGAGAATATTTTATAACGCAACAGATTATTTGTTAATTAATTTCTGAAAAGACAATGATGTAGCCTTATGTTTAACGTAAATCAATATAAAAATACAAAAATTTAATAAAAAAGTATAAATAAATAGAGGTAACAAAAATCTATGCGCGTTTAAATTTTATTTTTATTTAATACCTTTTTAGTGTAAATCATAGATTTGTTTATTTATTTGAAATCAATTTTCTAAAAATCTGACTGTAGGATTTCAATATATTTTTTTTAAACTTCAGAGAAATATGTTCTTTATGTATGATATTTTTCTGGTCAATGCTTCAACTTTTTTTCCATATAAAAATTTGTTTTTACTGTTATGACTATTTCCTTATATATCAAAGTGCAATTTCATTAATTATTTTGTTAATTACTATTTTTCTGACTATATATATATATACATATATATACACACATATATATATATATATATATATATATATATATATATATATATATATATATATATATATATATATATATATATATATATATATTGTAACATATATAATAAAAGTAATAAACACTTAAATATATTAGGAAAAAGTCATAACAGTAAAAGCAAATTTTTATATCGAAATAAAGTTGAAGCGATGCACTATGCGTTGCTCTTATACAAAATGAGGAAATAGGCATATAAATAAAGAAGGACTTAAAATATTTAACTTATTTTTTCACAAGACATCGAATTTTTATTTATATTTCTATATTTAAAAGAATCATATTTGGTTTTCATTAAAAAACAATTTATTGTATTTTTTTTTCGGTTAGTCCGGACTAATTCTAGATTTGTCCGGAAAACTACACAAGTCCGGATGATTTTATTCAAAAAAAAGTAGGCGCCTATATTTTATAGAATTTTACAAACTATGTATATGAACACTATTTCAAAATAAACAATATCATTAAATATAATAAACAACTCTGCTATCATATGATACTTGGCTCTTTGCATTCTTTCACAGTTTCTCAACGTTCTATTCTAATAGATGTTTTTAATAACTTGTGGCTATGAAAATAGCCGTTTTTTAAAAATTCAACGCAGAATAGCTCATCAGTATGGTTCTTCATGGTCTTACTTCCTAAAATAGTTAATTACTTGTTAAAATTGATTAAATTATTTCTTAAATTTATTTTTAAAAACATAAAAAAAAACAAAAAAAAAACGCAACTTTGAATTGTTAACTAACCAAAATTATGAGATTGCCTAACCAAAAAAAAAATCAATCAAAACTATCAACAATATTGTTAATAAAACTATTTTACCTTTATTTTAAGCAGTTATCAGAAGAACTGTCACTTTGCTTTCTTAAACTATTTTGTTTTCACTCTTTTTTTATTCATTTTGTTTTTTTTGCAAAAGAGGTACATATCAGATGTCATAAACAAATAATTAGCTGTATCCCTAGTGTTTTCTGCAAAAGAGGTTAAACGAGCATGACCAATTCGAGCAGTTTTGTTTTCCTTATTTCTGGCTTCAATAGCACTCTCAGACAAAGAACTTATCGGATACTTGAAATACCTTATAAAAGAAGTACCGTGAACTATCACTCTATGCACAGATTGTGACATAGGTATGGTTTTTTTTAAAATTTATAATTAGTTATGAGTGCAAATAGATGTTCAGATTTCTGTTTGAAAACCTTTATATCCGGTCTTTTAGTTGTTCTGTTTATATCAATGAGTAAATCTCGAAACAACCTAATCATTCTGATATCCAAGTTTAAAATTCTCCCTGTCACAATCGGGTTATTAAAAAATTTGCGAGCAACATTTCCAGTATTGGTTATTCCACATCCTTTCCTGACAAAAGAAACCCTTATATTCAGTTGTATCTTGAATAAATGCTGGAATTTTTTTTTGTTTTCAATAAATTCTTTACTCTTTTGCGATAGAATATTTCTTCCTTGCTTAACAGCTGGCAGTTTACAAGCAGTATTGAAAATCCACTCCATACAGCGCATCCATAGATGAAGACTGCAAATTCCAAGTTTCAAAACATGCTTGTTTAAATTAATATTTTTTTTCCAAATAGTTTTCAAGTTAAACTCCTTAGAATTTGCAAGGCATACATGGCAGGACTGAGATGAAATTTTTTTTTTAAGCATATTTGATACAACAGCGTTTAGTGTTTTGCCATCATTCATTGTGGTATAAATAGTTGACAAACTAGACTTTACTACAAAAGTACTTTCACCAAGTTTAAATTCAATATTTTTCAATAAAAAAATTTCATTTTTTAAATGTTCAAGTTTTTCCTGAATAAAACTAGCAGTCTCTTTTGCAAAACAAAAAAGATGATGGGTTGCATCCGGACTATTTGGAATTAAATTTTTCCATATTATTTTTTCTCCACTTCGGATCTCCAGTAGTACAAACACTATACTATACACAGAGCGATCATCTACACCTCTTTTCATAGTTGCTGAATTTTGAAACTCAGATTGATCACTTTGACCATCACCTCTACTTTGCAAATAATTTGTACATTATCACGCTCTTCTTGTGATAAACTCATTATGCAGTTACTTTCATAATCCAAAAGATATTCAAACACTCTAGAAACTGAATGCTTTATCATATGGAAAAGACTACATTTTACTTCGGTTTCAGAATATTCAACCTGTTCTGGATATGTCAATTTTTTGTATTGCTTCAACTTGGTTAAACCTGGAGGAAGAAGATGACGATTATGAGTCACTATATTTTTAAATTCAGTCCATGTTCTATCTGTAAGTTTCAAATTACAAAGAGCTTGCAATGACAAATTTGAACCATATAAAATAGCCCTAATTAATAGCAGTTCTTCCTCATGTGTTCTAATCTCTTTTTCAGAATCTTTTTCTAATCTACACGCACAAGTATATATATATATATATATATATATATATATATATATATATATATATATATATATATATATATATATATAATATATATATATATATATATATATATATATATATATATATATATGTGTATATATATACATATACATATATATATATATATATATATATATATATATATATATATATATATATATATATATATATATATATATATATATATATATATAATATATAATATAATATATATACTATAATGCAATATTTATTACTTATTTATAATAAATCAATATAGAATATATTATACTCACAAGAGATATTTGCATTGTTGATTTTGATCCAAAAAATGTTTATATTTAGTAAGAAAGAACTTTTTTCTTTTTCCACACTCATTAAATTTTTTTTATTAAATTAAAAGCAAGACTTTTGAAAATGTTGAAATTCACAGTGCAATCAGCATAAAGTGATAAAAACTTGGACTGCAAAAATGTAGCACATTCAGATACCTTTTTACTCGTGAAAATATGCCTTGGAGGAAAATCATTAGCCAGAAGTTTGCTAAGATTAAAAGTAGCCATTTTTAAAAAATTCTAAATCACGATGAGAGCCAAACTTAGGTTATAACTTAAAGACTAGAAAAGAATGTTCCGCCCGCATCCAGTTTTTTCTTGACAAAAAATAACTAATAAATCCACCTCTTTTGAATTGATTCTATAGCATGTTACTACAGAAGTAGCCAGAATATTATTTCATTATAAAAAGTCAGTTTGTTTGAGAAAATTTTAAAAAAAATAAAAAACTGGCTACCTCTGTAGTAACCTGGTCTAATCGATCAATCTTTACAGACACTCAAAAACAATGATCCAAACATTTTTTTTTTTCTTTTCTTGGTTTTTAATTTACAAAATGTATCATTTATTAGGAAATGTGCAAAAAAAATGAAGAAATTTGAAAATTATCTTATGTAATTTAAAGATTTAGTGAAAACATGTGTTTTTTTACCCCTGAAAATCCCGCACCTAAAAAGGCAAATTTAAAAAAATTTTAAAAAAACTTTTTTTTATTAACTAATACTAACTTGTTTCAGTTAAAAAATATTTAAAATATTAAAACTTAAAATTTTTTTCTGAAAAGTAAGTAAAATCCTATTTCCGCTTCGCGACGCATAGTGCACTATGCGTTTTATAATGATGATATTTTTCTTGTCATCGCGATGACAAGAAAAATTTTTTTTTTTTTTTTTTTTTTTTTTTTTTTAACATCTTTACTTCCAACAAGGCTGCAAGCAACCACTATAAGAGTTGGAAGTTACTGGAAGAGAAAAGACTAAATCTGTAGAGCAAGATAACGATTGACTGATGACTTAAAAGATTGCAAATTATATGAATCAGGAAAGCAAGATGAAGGAAGCGAATTCCAAAGAACTGATGTTCGAGGAAAAAAACTAGAAGAATAAGAGTTTTTGAAGCACTTAGGAACAGTCACAGAAAAAGGATGAGACTTAATTGAATGGCGAGTAACACGAGAATGAATTTTAGTAGATGGCACAAGGGACGCTAGCTCTTTAGAGCAGTGCCTATTATAGTATTTGTAGAAAAGAGAAAGAGAAGCAACATTACGACGATGTGACAAAGGTTGGAGATTGGCTGCCAGAGCAGGTCCAACTATGTTTACAATTCGTTTTTGCACCTTGTCTAAAAGAGAAAGAGCATCATTAGAAGATCCGCCCCAGATGTGGCAACAGTATTCCATACAGGGACGGATTTGAGATTTATAGAGATAGAGAATAGAATCTGGAGTAAGAAAGTGTCGAGCTCGATAAAGAGATGCAACCTTAGCAGATGCTAATTTTGCAATGGATTTGATATACGGTTTAAAAGAAAGATCAGAAGTAAGAGTTAATCCTAGAAGATGAATGGTAGATGACTCATCTAGTACATTACCATTCATAAATATAGGAAGATCTAAGTTATTACAATAACGATTGGCCGAATAAAATTGAGTTTTATCTGAATTAAAGTTCACCAGCCACTGTGAGCCCCATGCTGTAGCAGAAGTGAGATCCTTTTCAAGCTCAGATACCCCCTCCAAGCAATCAGAGAGTGTAGGCTTCTTATCATGACAAGAGTAAATGGTAGTGTCGTCAGCGAATAATGCCACCTTAGATGTGAGAATATCTGGAAGATCGTTAATGTAAATTAAAAAGAGTATAGGGCCAAGGATTGAACCTTGAGGAACCCCAGAAGTTACAGGATGTGAAGAAGAGTGTTGTCCATCGAGGACAACTTTTATACTACGATTGGAAAGAAAGGACTCAATAATCTTAAAGACGTTACCAGCTACACCATAAGAAGAAAGCTTATGGAGAAGACCAGCATGCCAAACTTTATCAAAAGCTTTAGAAATGTCAAGTGCGATAGCCTTAACCTCTCCACCTCTATCTAATGCACGGTAAAACCTATCGGTTATTACTGTTAGCACATCAGCTGTAGAACGAGAAGACCAAAATCCATATTGATGATCAGAAAGTAAGTTATTTGATTCAAGATGAGAGATTAAGTGTTTGTTGATTAAAGATTCAAAAACCTTGCTTATGACAGGAAGAAGACTAATGGGACGGTAGTTAGATGAATCAGATCGCTCTCCGGAATTTTTGAAAATAGGGATAACAGATGCTGCTTTCCAGCATGATGGAAAACAAGACTCTGATAAGCACTTGTTAAATAGTTTAGAGAGTATGGATGAAAGCTCAGGAGAACACCTCTGCAAGACTACAACAGGAATGTTGTCAGGACCACAAGCTGTTGAAGAGTCTAAGCAGGAAATTACTTTAGATACAGAAGCTGAAGTGATGCGAATGTCAAGCAAGGGATCAACCTGTTTGACGGCTATGTCAGGTAAAACGCAACTAGTGGAATCAAGAGATGATATTGATGAAAAGTTCTTAGCAAACAATTCAGCTTTGTCTTTAGGTGAGGTGACAAAGTCTGAACCATACAAGAGAGAAGGAATAACAGATTTGCCCTTATTATTGATACTGTTAAAGATTCTCCAGAAGTCTCGAGAGCCTAATTTTTGTGATGAGATACGAGATTTAATGACCTGGGAATAGCGAGCTTTGGCGTCAGACAAAACCTTTTTACAATGGTTTCTGGCGATAGTGAACAGATGTCTGTTTTCTGGAGAATTGTTTTGCTGATAGATATGGAAGTAACAGTTTCGATTAGAAATTGCTGCAGCGCAATGTGAGGAAAACCAAGGAGAAGAGTGAGGCTTGACCTGGAATCGTCGAGAGGGAATAAAAGATTCCATGCCAGCCTGAATCCACGAAGTTATGTAAGAAGCACATTTGTCAGCAGGAAGACGAAAGATTTCTACCCAAGGGCCATCACGAAGAAAATCACGGAAAGAGTCCCAGTCAGCTTTAAGGTAGTTGTATGTGGTACGATGATAGGGGGATTCTGATGAAGTAGAAGAATTTGATAATAGTTTTAGAGAGATCAAACCGTGATCAGAAGTACCTAAGTGTGAATGTGGAGAAATTGAGCACTGACTAGGATCCAAAACAAGACATAAGTCGAGTAGAGAAGGTAAATGATTAGGGTTGTCTGGAAAACGAGTTGGAAAGTTGACTATTTGAGTTAGAGATTGAGAAAGGCAAAAGTTGAGGGCCTTAACGCCAGCAGAGTCACTGACACTAGAGCCAAGCCAATCGGTGTGGTGGGCATTAAAGTCACCAACAACGACGATATTGGCCGATGGATAAAGAGAGAGGGCTTGGTCAATTTGATCAGAAATAACATCAAGAATAGTGCAATCTTGGGATGAAGGAGAGCGATATAGAACAAAGAGAAAGGCGATAGAGTGAAGTTGTGCTAAACGAAAGCACATAAATGAATAGTCTGTAGATTCAAACCTAGTTTCACGACAAATGGGTGAGTTCTTACGAATGTAGATGCCCAGGCCAAGCATGTGATTATTGGAGTCTTTACGAATTAAAGGAAGATAACCATCAACACTAAGATCACAAGATGGGACAGCCGAACTCAAATTAGTCTCACAAAGAGCAAGTAGGTCTGGTGAACTTTGCAAGAGATAAGACTCAACAGAAGAAAAGTTACTTCGAAGACCACGAATATTAGTAAATGATAGGTTTAGAGAACTTGGTGATGACGATGGTTTTTTGTGTTTTTTAGTTTTAGGCACTTTAGTCATTTTAAATTTATAAATGTGGTGTGCATTGCAGAGGCTCCAAATGTGGCCTCTGCAATGCACACCAAAAGTACAAACAGGGACACCATCCATGCGCAACATGGCACTGTTAGTACTCTGATATTTTTCGGCTGTTGATGGAATCAGCCTCTCTGAGAGCTACCACAGAGTTCGGGAAACCTGACTACCAGCCGGCCTCAGAACCATAAAACTGAGTTTTAGAGCTGTACCCTCATAAGGAGATAATAGAATGAGTTGCCCAGTCATAAAAATAGAGACACAAGCAATACCCACGCATTGAGTCAAGAAGATCCAGCGTTCAACATCCTAAACTGGAAACAATGTATTAAAAATACATCTGCGCCAGCCTAATAGATGAGGAAGGGGTGCGAGGCTGGTCAACAGATAGAATCTGTTTACCCCTTAAGTCTTTGCCTAGGAGGCCTTCTACAAGACAGCAGCTGGATGCATGTAACATCTGCCCAAGATGAGTATTTTTATCGAGACACCATCTCTAGCCTTTACTCAACCAAGAGCCCCAAGGCAGGGGGTGTTTTAAGTCGGAGTTAACTTCTCCTAGCCTTTGCCTAAAAAAGCGTATCCTACAAGGCAGCAGGACATGGAGCAGGTTGTACTGGGTTACATGTTACCAGTAGCAGGAAAACCTGACCTGACTTCAATATCATCATTATAAAACATATTTATCTCAAGTTAAGTATAGTTAATTAAAAAATATAATTATCTAATAAGGTTTTCCCAAAAAGAACATTTTTAGAAAATATATGCTTAATGTTTTTTATATAATAAAAAAACTGGTTTTTAAAAATTTTTGAATAAAAAATATTTTGATGACTCCCTCAAGACCCTTAATTACTTGTTATGTTCCTTTTAGACCCCAAGGAACATAACAAGTTCCTAATATTAAAAAAAAAATTATTCAAGTATCATGTTGGGTCTCAAATGAAGCAAAATTATATGAAAATTTCAATGTTAGATTTAACACCATAAAAAAATAAGTTTATTACCTAAAAACGAAAATAGTGCATTTTTACCAATTTTTTGCAATATTTTTTTTTCAATAAGTTTTTTATAATAAAATTATCATATTTGAAATTTTCATGATTTCGCTTAGAGATAAAATGTCAAGATACACTTATGAAGATTTTTTTTTGTTGATAATATTAGAAACTTAGGGTAAGGCATGTTTTACTTTAACAAAAGAGTTCGTCATGTTTTACTTTAACAAAATGAATTCGCATATAAATAAGTGAACTTTTCTAGTTTAAAAACTTTTTTTTATTAATTAGGGTCTCTATTTTGTTAATGTATTGAATCAAAATGAATTCTAAAGTTACTTTAGCGTATAATTTGATTTTTTCATCATCAAGTCATGAGGGGCGAATTCGTCAATTACGGGGCGAATTCGTCAGTACAGCTAAACTAATTTAAAAATTCG